AGCCATTTCGTGCAAGCCGGGGAGAGTGTGGTGTTTGAAGTCAGGATTAAGTGGCTGTCAGGATCGAGTATGAGACGGTGCATGCTGAAGAAGTCAAGGTTGAGGCAAGTGGGGAGAAATAAACGATGGAAAAGTCCTTTCCCTCGGACACTTTTCAATGGGTTCTCATGTATGATGACATCAGATGCATCGCTTCCTTGGCTTTGGGGAGGGAGCCACGTAGATGAGAATAATTTCCTACACGCATCGAACTGGATCGGATGGCTAAGGCATAACCCGAAAACAGTGTAGTCCAAGTAAACACCGTGATGGAAAACCGATGTCTCAATCTGTACATATAAGTCATAGCCAAAAAAAACCAGTGTAGTAAACACCGTGATGGAAAAGTAACATATCGATGTGGACTCTCATAGCCCAAAAACAGTACAGTAGTTCAAGTAAACAACACCGTGATGGAAAGGCAATAGAACTGGAGTTTTCGTCGTTTCCCATTTAAAAATAAATAAATAAATAAAGTCCAAACTCACCTAAAATGCACTTCACACGTTGTATCTTAATTGCATAGATTTATAAAATTATAAATTTTAACTATTTAATATCGACTATATATGGTCATCAGTGGCATAATAAAATCCTTCTTCTTTTTTTTTCTTAAGACCGATATGAACGATGTCATTTTACGTACATATATCAAAACCATAAATGAACTTAGGAGATGTAGTACTTTCGATCATTATTGTTGCAATTACGACAAGAAAGATCTCCCAAGTGCATGGTTGATCTTTCTGCCAACTTTTGTTTTCACATGATTATATAGTATTAAGCTAATTACATGTTAATAGTTAGAATTTTTCAACATTCTAATTTTTATATTTAAATTTCTATAGTTACTAAAGTGAAACAACTCACTCAATTTCCTTTAATATTATTGGTTTTATTAATAAAAATATAATTTTAATATTTTAATTGTGTTTTCGATTATAACATATGACAACCATGCGTACCTTCACCCTCTCCTCTCTAAACGACCCCGTTGCTTTGCGGTCGTTAGTGATGGAAAAGTAACGGGCCAATGTGGACTCTCATAGTCAAAAACAGTACAGTTCAAGGAAACACCGTGATGGAAAAGCAATAGAACTCTTTTGGTCGTTTCCCATTTAAAAATAAATAAATAAATAAAGTCCAAACTCACCTTAAACGCACTTCACACGTTGTATCTTAATTGCATAAATTTATAATAATAATAAAATCATACATTTTAACTATTTAAAATGGACTATATATATATATATATATCTCTTATCATCATTAAGATTCATAAAACTGTTAGGATCAAGAGCACTAAGGGGGGGGGGGGGGGGGGGGGGG